CTGCCCGCCGCGCTCGGCGGCCGGAGAGCGGCCGCCCCGGAAACACCTCGGGAAATGAGAAAGGGGGGTCGCCGTCCCGCACGTCGGCCGCCTTGGCGCTGCTTTTTGCCGTTAGGCGGCGGGGGTTGCTCTTCCCGCCTCGTGGCTGCTGGGGCTCTGATTGTGCTCCCAGGCGAGGGTGCCCTGTCTCAAGTCGAAGGCTTTGCTGCCTCGCCTTCCCCTAGGCAGGGCTTTAGCTCTGCTTTAGGATCATAGGGATAGGATTTGCTATGGATGGCAACTCCAAAATGGTCGTAATCCCTTGCTGAGGGCTCTGGCCTTTAGTCCCAAGCTGGCACTGGACCTGACATCCCAGCCCCTGAAATATTTCTCCTGATTTTGTTTCAGCTATGCAGTGGTCACACTCACGTTACCCCTAAAGCTATTCCAAGCCGCAAATCTTCTGATACCACCATAAAGAGTAGATTGCATAACTTGCGTCCTTTAGAAAAGGATATCGATCACAAAATTCCACTTGTGTTATTTTGGAGATCATAATACCTACTAGATGCTCTTTACCAGAGCGATACTTGCAACGTTGTTTACAGACCCGTTATCTCACCTAACACAGCTTTGGACAAAATACAAATAACGATGTTTCACAGAGTGAACACCACCTCACAAATACCTCAGAAATGAATCCTCAAGTCACTGCTTGAACAGACCTGTCCAGGACAGAAAACCATTTCCCGTGCACCGCAGCAGAAGGGCCCCCCTGACTGAGCATGATGGAGGGGCTCACACCACCCGGGGTGACAGGACTCCAGTTCTCACAGTATTTTTGATTTGAGTCAGGCTACAGGAGGAATTCTCCATGCACTTTCTGGAAAGCCAGTTAATCCTTTATATGTTGTCACCTAGCTCAGGGATCTGTTGACTTACTTTTCTAGGAGGGATCAGCCAGAAGGCGGCACTAGAGAACAAGTCTGGACACCTCGGGGCTGTCACTTGTCACCAGGGTATAGAAACCTTAAATCCAGCCTTCATCACATCTCTTTTATACTGCTGGTAAGTGTGTCTTTCAACAAGTGTTTAGCTTGCCATAGTGTGGGTTTTCGTTTACACAGCAGGAGTACATACAGAAAACGTTACGATGGTCTCACAGGCGTGTGCCAACAAGCAAGAGATGTCTCGTGGTGTTAGCTGCAGTGCTATGGAAAAGCAAAACATTGTGTTGAAAATCTTTTTATAGACATGAAAAATGCAGTCTGAATTTAGTCCATTAGCACTATATATGAGTTTTCATTATGATTACAACTTCCATCTTTAAAATAATCAGGTCTAATGTTGCTGTTTTTCACAGAATTCACCAAAAGTACATTTAAGAGAGACATTTGATGTCTTATGTCAGCAAGTCAAAACACATTTCACACCTGTAAAGTACCTGGTTTCTTTTCCTTTACCCCACTTTATAAGATAGTAATTTATAGATTTTTGCTAACTAAATAATCTAATATATTCTATTAAAAAGCACACTGATTTCCACTGTTTAAAATTCTTTTTTTATTTACTCAATACTGCTACACAGTAACGTACGTGCTGATAGGAAAATGTGTTTGAACCTAAGGCAACACCACAGCATGTTGTAACACAGTCGACATAATAGCATGTTTTAACAAGTTCTTGAATATGGTAAAGCTAATTCTACAGCCAAGTTCTCCCCAACACCTTTCTACGTGTAGTTGGGGTTTGCCCATACAAGTAAGAGCAAAAGATTTTATGACACAATTTCTTCATTTAAGAGAAACAATAAAAGGGACATGCTCTGAATCTAGTTTGGAGAGCAGCAAGTATACTCAGCATTAATTTGCACACTTGGATCGCAAGATTTGACATCAGTGGACTTACTCCCTTCATCTTGTAAACTTTCTGGCATGATCCATCTTGACTAAAACAAATGGAGCAATTCTGAAAAAGGCACTTAGAAGAGCACCGTGTTACTAATATTGTTCCGTTTAGTGTTGTTGGAGTGTATCAGCTTTGGTATTAACTTCTCTGATGGCACAATATAGAAGACACAGAGCTGCACTCATTTCTCCTAGAACCTTTTACATGTCTGATCACTTAGATGCACTGCAAATTAGAGATGATGTTTGAGCCTTTCATGTACCCAATACCTACCAACGTTGCTGTACCACTAAGTACTTGATACAATTAAGCTTTCAGGGCAATGAATCAGTAATATTTGGCAAGGCTATATGAAGACTGGCATCTTTCTCATTTTGGCTTCGTGACCTTCCTGTTTCCCAGAGTGGCCAAGGGAAACTGCTCCAGTTCACCAGACGCTGGCAAAATGGAGCAGTAGGTTAAAGTTCCTTAACTGAATCCTCCACCTTGACACAGTTAGGGGGCAGAGTGGGACTGTGGCAGGACAGACCATCCTGCTTGTGTAAGATCTCTATGTCACAGCCTGCCTCACCGACCGACTGGAAACAGGCAGAGAACTACCCTCTCCCCTCCCTTCTTCCACGTTTTTTAATTCCAGCATGACTATAACCAGTACGTCAGCACGTACCTGCCATCCCCGAGGTACGATGCTTTTAGTAACACCACGAACTGCACGGAAAACTCGGCCATCAGCAATAAATGAGATCTTAACTTAAAATGTCCCAATCAATAGTTTTCTCTAGGGGGAAAAAAAAAAAAAGTTTTTATAAGGCGAGGTGTCTCGCCTTCCCACACCAAATCTCACAGCGGGCAGTTTAACACCCCATACAAACGCTGGATGTCCCACAACATGTGACAGACCTCGGAGCCCGCTTCGAGTGGCCTGGCCTCGGTAACAAAGCGCCCGGAAACGAAACGAGAAGTCAGGGCAGGCGGGGCGCCAGGCTCTCGGGGGGCGGTCTCGGCCCTGC